TTCCACACCCTTGTTCCAACCCCTAAAACCATCTTTTGTAAATGCATCCCCTGCATTTCCACGACTTTCAAGTTCATTCTTGAATAAATAACAATACAAACAAAATGCCGCATCTGCTTTTATGCTATACTCCAACCATTGAGAATATGGTCCCTTAAACCAAGTGGGACTAAATTGACGCATTTTACTCCCAATCTTAGTTTTAGGAAAGGCATGACCAATCGGTTGACAAGGCCTTTTGTTTATATAATATCTCCTTACTTCATCTCGAATATTAGGACCGTAATCCGAAATTGGCATTCTTTCTTTGGGATCCGGTTCAAAAGATTTCAAATCAAGCACTTTGTCCACATTTGAAAGTAGAGAAGGATTTGTCTCTCTTTGAACTTCCTGAGCGATTTGTGAACTCATGGATGGCCAACTAGCACTAGAACTTGGTTCACCATTTTTCGGCTTTGTGAGAAATCTATCCATTTTAATCTTATGGATCGTTCCTACAAAATTAAATATTCACACTTCTATTTAATCTATCTTAATTTAAATAAATTGTTAAATTCAAATCAATCATATTAAAGCATGTCAGTCAACAGATAAAGAAGTTATAGCACAAAAATTAGACATTTGTAGTTCTGTACATATATATTTGACACTTTAATTGTGTTTGGATTTGAGCAAGTTCTTCAATAGAGTTGCAGCAAGAGAATTAAAATACAGAGGCTGAGAATTTTAAAGGAATGTGGTCGTGGAGAAGAAATGTTGCTTTCTTGAAGAATCCATTCACAGAGGCTAGAGCCGAGAGAGAGAGAGAGTTGAGAGGAAGAGAGACTGTGAAGTTTACTTTTAGGAATTAGGGATTGGATATATTAGTATATACCCAAATTCCTCCTAAAAACATGGGCCATGTTTTTAGTCAAAGAAACTTTAAAAAAGAAAATATATAGAAAAGGAGAGGGAGACAGACGGTGGTGTAGGTTGCTTTTAGGAATTAAGGACTTGATATATTAGTATATACCCAAATTCCTCCTAAAAACGTGGGCCATATTTTTAGCCAAAAGGAATTTCAAAAAAAACTTAATATAGAAAAGGTGAAGGGATAGAGGATCGAAGCCTTGACCTCGGGGTAGACAGGGGCACCAACTTACCAATGCACCAAGGTAGTCAATTGAGCATGGGTGGTCACAAACATATTTATATAGATAATTGTAAAATTGATATTGTTTATACATAGCCTAGGGAGGGGGGCATGGATTCATGTACCCCACCCCCTCCACGTAAATCCGCCTTTGGGAATAATGGGTCGGTTTGCTTAGTTTTTGGTTAATTTGAATAGGCTTTTCATTCACAAAGCAAATAAGTTCGATTTTAGTTCAAATTTTTAACACTTAATTTAAACACATTCTAAATAAAAGTGCAAAAACAAATAACATTTCATGAAAGAGCGCCTCCAATATAAATATTTGCCTAAGGAGTAGTTTAACTACACTATATATTCTTTGTTTGACTAGATTAATTTACTTGTATTGTTCTTTGTTTATTTTTTCATCTTAATTGTTGAGTTCTATGACAATTATTTTCAAAGAAAAACTTTCAACATTCAACCTATGATATTCGACTCAAAACGACTATCAATCAAGCCATTTAATTTTTTTTCAAAACTCAATAGAAGATATTGCTCAAATTATATTCCAATATATAAATTAATATCGTTTCATTAAAAATAAAAAATATTATATGCTAATTGAAATCAATTCAAATTACCTATAGAAAATAATTGTTCATAAAGTAAGGTACAATGATAGAAATAAAATGAGGACTGAAAGTTAAAAAAATGTAGAAGATAGACTTAGCAAGTAATAAAAGGAAGAAAAGAAGGGAAAGAGCCGAAAAAGAGGTGAGGCCCTATGGCTCAACTGAAAATAAAGGAAATATAGAAAAAATAAAAAATCAAAGGAGCCTGCTCCAACAGGGAATCGAACTTGCATTCATGAGGCCAAAGAAAACCTTCAAAGGGAAGACTAAACCAATGGCACCCGCTTCCACTTTGTGGTTTTTGGGTGCCACTCTATCTATATATACGTTTCTTCACAGAGATATTATATACATAGTAAGAATTTTAGCGAAGTGAGCGGGTGTCGTGGTACCCTTACCTCATAAGGTAGATTCGCCCCTGAGCACCAGTACATAAAGAGTAATATTGTTTCTTGAAAAGATGATAGTGAGGCCGCCATTGAGACAAAGAAAGAATATGACTAAATAAATCACAAACTTCATTAAGTTGAAAAACTGTCTGTGTATTTGTCACGACCCAAAATCTAACCATGGTCGTGATAGCGCCTATCTTGTTACAAGGCAAGCCTACTTCTTAAAATATTACTACTAAACCGATTATAAGAACTTAATAAAACATTTCAACATTGAAATTTTTCATAAACTAAATCAACTCTAAATATAATATAGAAAAATATATAAACAAGCCCCAAACATCGAGGTATCACTAAGTCATGAGCGTTTAAAACTATAAACTAAGATATATAAACTGTCTAACTATCCAAAAGAAGAAATGACAAAAGGAGTAACAAGGTCCTGCGGACGCTAGCAGCTACCTTGCAATCTCCATAGATAGCCGGCCTGAACTCAATGATCGCCACGCTCTAACTCACCTGGATCTGCACATAAAGTGCATAGTGTAGTATGAGTACAACCGACTCAGTAGTAACATAAATAACTAAGGAACTGAGCAGTAGTGACGAGCTAAGTAAAACAGTCCAATTATTTATTTTCACAATTTAAAAATAAACAGAAATAAACAGGTAAATTCCATAACTCAGTAAATGCCATAAAGAAGTTTAACAGATAAATGCAGCAACAACACATATAAATACAACCTCACAGCAGTGTCACTCCATCACTCATCACTCACACGCAGCACTCAACACTCAAAACACTCAACACTCTGCGCTCACTGGGGGTGTGTATAGACTCCGGAGGGGCTCCCAAAGCCCAAGCACTAAGCACGGACAACTCACGTGCCACCATATCAATACCTGGATCCGTATGGACAACTCACGTGCTATGGTATCAGTACCTGGACCCGCACGATCAACTCACGTGCTACGCGGATAATTCACGCGCTATGGTATTAATATGCTCACAACCAGGCCCTCGGCCTCACTCAATCATGTACCTCACTAGCCTCACCATCATCAACAAATAAGGGAACACAACCCACATCAAGTATCACAGCATATTAGCAAATAATAGAGACTAAGGTAAACATGTACAATACTTTCTATGAATGAGTCCAAATAGTGTGAGCATGAATAAAGCCTAAGCATGATCTCTAACATGAAGGCAGACAAGTTCAACAACAAGTAACTACGTAAACACAGATGATGGCCATGATGCCTCACGGGACGGACCAAGTCTCAATCTCTCGTGGTGCAAACCCACACGCCCGTCACCTAGCGTGGGTATCACCTCCAAACAATCACTTGATATCAAATCTCCGGGTTTATACCCTCAAAGCCAGAGTTAAAACTGTTACTTACCTTAACAACGTAAAATCCTACTCCGGGATGCCCTCGTCTCTGGACTCGGTCTCCAAAAGCTCCAAATCTAACCATAATCATATTAATACCATCAACATAGGCTAATGAATCAAGTTTCACAATAAAAACTACAAAATATGCCAAAAATCCAAAACCGGCCAAAACCCGGCCCCCAGGCCCATGTCTCGGAACTAGTCAACAATGGAAGAATCAAAACCCTCGTCCTCTCCCGAGTCTAACCATATAAAATTTATCAAAATCGGACTCTGTTTGGTCCCTCAAATCCCTACCTAAAACTCTCCAAAACTCAAGCCCTAACTCCCTCAATTTCACTTTGAAATCATCAATCAAATCCCAAAAACGAAGATGGATTCATGAAATATAACTAAAACCGAGTAGAGAACACTTAACCCAATCCTTTTGGTGAAAATCGCCTAAATAATCGCCCAAATCCGAGCTCCCCAACTCAAAATATGACCGAATGAACAAACCCTTGTTTTATATATTTTTTTGCCAGCTATTCTGCCTCGTTTCTCGTACCAAACGGTCCCTGAAACTCGTTTTTTATGCCTCCAATGGATTTCTTGTGCAATTCTAGTTAAGTTAGGCTTTTGAATCACTCCATTTGACCTTATAATGAAGGAGATATATTGGTTTCAATATTTGCAAATAGTGCAGATTTTTAAATACGCCGTCAGTGGTAATTTCGTAATTAATCTGAAAAATCTGGTAACCTAATTCTTAGTAAAATGACCATAAAATCCTCATACGATACAGATATAATGCTTCAATCAAAAAGGAAATCGGAGCTCATTTGTTCAATATGATATCATTTATGCTTGAAGAAACGGCGTCGAAACATAAGAAAAACGAGCGCAACACAACCCAAACCTATCCGAAACTCACCCGAGGCCCTCGGGACCTCAACCAATAATTCCAACAAGTCATATATCATTACCTGAACTTAGTCGAACCTCCGGAACATCCAAAACAACACCAAATCAACTTCGAATTCAAGCCTAAGAACTTCTAAACTCCCAAAATTCGTCAATGACACCGAAACCTATCCAACCACGTCCAAATGACCTCAAATTTTGCACACACATCACAAATGACACTACGAACATACGCTAACTTCCGGAATTCCATTCCGACCCCGATACCTAATTTTCCACCGCTGACCAAAATCACCAAATTTCTAACTTTCGCCAATTCAAGCCTAATTCTACCACGGACCTCCAAATTACATTCCGGACACACTCCTAAGTCTAAAATCACCCAATGAGTTCGCTTATTCATAAGTCAACTTCCGATTGACTTTTCTAACTAAGAGACTAAGTGTTCATTTCACTCCAAAACTACTTCGGACCCAAACCTACCAACTCAATACAACTCAACACCGCTGAACAACACATAAAGAAGCAGGAATGGGGAAACAGGGCTATAACTCTTGGAACGACTGGCCGGGTCGTTACAGTATTTGAAGATCCTCTTCTCTTAAAGATTTAAATCTTTTGCTCAACTTGTCTATGTACACTTTCAGAATCAGCTGATGTTCTTGATTTTGAGCTTGTGCTTCTTCAGCCATTACTTATAAAAATTAGTTAGGAGACTTATGAATTTTCTCCTTAGCGGAAGCAGGTCGTCTGCAGCAACCCGACTCAAATTACGGGTTATGTAGCGTATGAACTCCCTGTTCTTGATTACTTCTTGATTAAGGATGCAGAGAACTGTCACGAACCAAAATCCCACCACAAGCGTCGTGATGGCATCTAGTCTCTAAGACTAGGTAAGCCAATTCCAATTACATTTTGAAGCCATTTTTTTAAATAGGTAATCAAAACTAACAGCGAAACAAAAGTGAATATACAACCTCCCAAGACTGGTAGTACTGAGTCATGACCTCTAACTGAATACATAGAATGA